CAGAATGAAACACAAATTTCCTCAGAATATCACCTAGTCTACTGTGTTGCTGTTAAAAACGTTTCTTACCAGTTACTTACCAGTTGTCCATCTCGCATTTGTGTCGGCTTCTGTTCCTGCCAGATATGTTGAATGAGTGTAGCAGCCCAGCAGCGAATATATAGCCTAGTCTCTCTGTTTCCTAAAAACGAAACTTACCATTATTAGAGGTCTGTCGAAACTGTTATTAATGGGTTTCAGTCACGTTACTTTTTTGTTGCGGCCGCCATCTTTAGGACCTTGCGTAGCCTCTCCTTGGTAATCGGAAACCAAAACAACACTTCACCAACAACGGAAAACAATGGTATTTAAAAAAAATAATAGATACTTTAGGATTAGATCCTTTCATTTCTGCACCTGTAAAGAGTAAATAATGCACAAGTATCTATTACTAAAGGTCTATCTGAATGCACCAAACTGAATGAAAGTAAATGTATATATATTGTATCAAAGCACATGTTGTTTGAAAGACTATTTACTTATTATTATTTTCCCATTTAATTCTAGCACATTAAGTGGCTGTGTCCAGTATGATTGAAATTTAAAGTGTGTATCATCCTAATTAAAGAGATAGTTTACCCAAAAATGAAAATCATTTACTTCCTTTATGTCGTCTACACGTGACAAACCTGTTGGTTTTGATTACCAGCATTCTTCAAAGTATCTTCTTTTGAGTTCTGCAGAAAAACAAAAGAAAGGGGTTTGAAATAAACAATGAGGGGGAATTGACTCAGATTCTGGGCCGAATCAACCGGACCAGATGCGACAGCCGTAACTTGCCGACACCGCGGCATCCAAGCGGGGCTCGGCCCGTTGCGCAGCACGCCAGACTTAGCCGAGTTGCATTTCTATATCTACTGTACTGTTCATTAATATTTCATGTAAAATTAATAACGTTGCCTAGACAAAACGTTTACTTGCATTTTAATTATATAGATTATAATACATAAATAACATGACTTGACAAATCTATAAACATCTCATTATTATGAAAGCAATTGGAGTAACGTCTGCCATTTCTTCAGCGATGAAAGCACTTCTCTTGATTACTAGAAAAAAAAGAATTATTAAAAGAAATATTAAATAGAATTAAAAGAAATTTGTGGCATGTTAAGAGAAACAATCAGTTATTCCTGTGTCTCTCTACATGTTGAGTGAAGAAGCAACTAAAGTAGCAACAAAACTGTGATTCTGTGTTTTGTTGTAGTCAGTTACATGTGTTTTGTCAGTGGTGAGCACCTGTACATATAAGTCTGCTTAAAATATTTAACACATTTTGCAAAATTACCCATGCATTTACTTGAATGAATGAGGCATTTATATGTACACTTGGACTGTAAAATTTTATAAATAAAGGTTAAAACATTAAAAAAATTTAAGGTGTTTTGAAAAACACATTGGTAAATGGCAAAGTTTTTGAATAACTGTGATTCTGTGTTTTGTTGTAGTCAGTTACATGTGTTTTGGCAGTGGTGAGCACCTGTACATATAAGTCTGCTTAAATTTAGCAACTGTAAAAGCAGGACACAGCTACTGCAAATGATCTCAGACATATCGATGCATATACATTTGATTGCAGTACATTGTCATTGTAAAAATCACTGCAACTAGCTTATATAGGCTATTTAGCTAACAGATTATTTTAAAAGAACGTTCTTCTATAGAATTATAAAACTAATAGTACAAACGTCTGAAGAACTTCTGCCATTTCTTCTGCGATGACACTTCTCTCGGTTACTACAAAACATTGTTAAAAGACATTTGTGGCACATTTAAGAGAAATATTCCGTTATTCCTGTATGTCTCTGAATGCCAAGTGAAGAAGCAACTAAAGTAGCAACAAAACTGTGATTCTGTGTTTTGTTGTAGTCAGTTACATGTGTTTTGGCAGTGGTG